GCTCCCATACCTCTCCATCTTAGTTCTGGCACAACACCCACTGCCCATATCCATTGAGGTCCGGACAGGTTCTGCATCCTGTTATGTGTCCAGCACCTACCACAGTGTGTAGCACACAGCTGGTCACCAACATACTTGAGGAATTATTGAAGCAGCAGTATTGATAGACAGTTGGCTAGGGTTTCCGGAACGCATCATTAATAAGGACCAATAAATATTTGTGTGTTTGTATATTAGCAACAATATTCCTATTGTACTTGGTCACCAAAGTCCTGTTTTAGGATACAAAGATGAAGTCAGTTTTATTGATCCATTGACAATGGAGAGGCAGAGTAGTCTCTGAACTGAACACGAAGTTGTCTTTCTTGTCACTGGGTCACTGGGGTCCTATCAGAGGGACACAGGCAGATGACAAAAATGACTAAAGAGACGAGAACGTGGTTCAATTCTCGGAAATGCCAGCTGGGGCTACAGGACAACCTTGTACAGGTATTTGACAGTCACAGCCTTTCCTTGTTGGTATCTTTAGAGCTGTCTTCCAGGTCTGAGGAAACAACTGTAGTCATCTCACACAGGTGTGGAGGCCAGAAGACAGTCTTGAATGGCAACCTCAGTAATGACCCAAGACAGGATCTCCTGGTGGCCTGGAGCTTACCAGTTAAAATCTAGACTGGCTAGCCAGCCAAGATGAAGGATCCTCCCACCTCCCAGTATTTACGTGGGTCCTGGAGATCAAACTCAGGGCCTCAGGCTTGCAAGGCGAGCCCTTTGCTGGCTGAGGTATCCTGGGCCCAAACCATCACAGCCTGCTCGACTTCCTTATGCTTCCTCTAGCATCTCAGATTCCTTTCTTCCCCCATTGTGACATGGTTTTACTGTCTAACCGTGGGTTTCCTGGTCACTCTGTAGACCAGATTGGCCTTGAACTCAAAGATCTGCCTGCCTCTACCTTGTGAATGCTGGCGTTAAAGGCCTGTGCCACCACGCCTGCTGCATCTCGGATTACTTTCTATTTTTCCATCTCAGCAAGCATTGCTGGTGAGTCTACATCCCTGAAGATTTTCTCTATAGCATGCACAAATGAAACACAAAGTTGGCCACACTCTCAAAACCCAGTAATGAGAGGAGGGCTGAACCACGGCCTGAAGAACTTGACATTCTCTAAGACTTCCACGGAGTCGTTTAGGCAGCCTTGCAGGCATGCATCAGGAAGTCTCTGCTTTGGAGGAGGTTGCCACAATAGAAGGACATCAGTACTTCATGGTGACTGGCCTGTGTTGCTCAGTCTTCCATGCCTGCTCATTTCCTGATTCTTCTAGTCCAGCTACACAACAATGATGATGTTTCTGACCTCAAGGAAGCACAGAGTCCTGTCCAGGATGATGTCAGAGACTGCTGTTTTGATTGCCATTCTTACCACTTTGAAGAGGTAGGTAATTGTGTGTGTGTGTGAGAGAGATTTTATGAACTGTCTGTTCTTTTGAACGTGACCCACGTTATACACTAAAATCCGCTGAACTTTTGCTATAACCATGCAAGTGTATCTTTACTTACCATTGGGGAGTTCTTGGGTATAGTCATCAAGCATGCTTCTCTACATCTTGGTCCCCAAAGGGAGGGATGCAAATTTCCATGTGCTTTCAGTTTCATTTTTATGATAAATGAGATAATTAGCTTATGGGAATCCATAATGCTGCGATAATTGTTATTTTTGTTTCTGCAGAATGAGAAATTCTCCATGAAAAAAAAAATTAAAGTCTGAGTTGCAAGAAAAAAGCAGAATGAGTTTCAATGTCTCAAAACCACACACCCCATGCTTCAGACCCTCCAATTTCTTGCCTGAGTAAAGCAAGTAGCAGTCTTGACTTGGGGATACAGGTAAGTGGGTGAGGTATAAGAAGCAGAGAAAGTGCAGAAACACCGCCTCCTCTCTGTGTGAAGTCATGAGCTTCCTGGGGTATAGGCTTCTCTGTGAATATGTGCAGATGGTTACTCAGACATTGCTTTTTCTTGTCATTTCATTTTCTACACGTTTTGGGACTACAAATGAATTCTTTTGTATGCAACTCACTCGGTTTAAATTTCTTTAAACCATATTTATTTATCTTTATTTTACCTGCATGTATGTGCCCTGCATGTGTGTCTGATGACTACAGAGGTCAGAGGAGGGTGCCAGAGCCCCTGGAGCTGAGATTCTAGATTCTAGTTGTAAACTGCCCCCAGGGTGCTGGGAACCACACCTCGGTTCTCTGCAAGAGCTGTAAGTGCACTTAAGGGCTGAGCCATCTCCTCAGCTCCTTCGATTAGCTTTCTGACTGACACTGAGGGGCATTTCTGACTCAGGAGCTGTGTCTGAAGTAGATGGATTTCAGAAACGGAAGTTGAGTTTAACAGGAGATCCTCTGCCCACTAGGATTTTCCTCTTATAGCCTTTCACCAAGATAAATAATAATTTGCTTCCTCCTTTTAAAAGCCAAATAATTTAGTGGCTGTTAAAGATACGGTTCATCGTATAGACCTGATTAACTGCAGAAAACTGAAGCTCCGGATCGCTGATATTATGAGGTTAGAAATAGCATCCTGCTAATCAGCAAAACCAAGAAATGAAGAGAGTTTAAATCAGACCTCATGCCTAATGCATAAGCGTGGAACCGCTTCATCTGAGGTGGAAACGTTCTGTCCTGTAGGGAAGCTCCTTAAACAGGAAGATAAACACCTCAAAAGAGCTTCAGGAAGTTCCTGAAACTGACCAGATTCACTAGGCCCCTCCGAGTAAGCTATAAAAGCCAAGAGTCCCCCCTGAGACTTGAGGGAGAGACACTGTAAAAGAGACTTTGAGACAGGTCAAGAAGACTGGATCCAGACCAGCTGCCTGGAAGAAGCAGAAAGCTGCCTGTCTACCTGGAAGAGGTTTAGACCAACTGAGGCACCTGCAAGGGACACACTCCAACCTGTGGAACTGCCTGCGTGCAGGCTGTGTGTGCTCAGGGTTCCCAGCTTTGTGAGCTGTCACCTGTGTTGAGTGGGTTTGGATGATGCAGCTCTCTTTGAGTCCTTTCTGCTCCTATATGTAACCCCTCACCCATACTCCTGTAAGTAGCCCCAATAAAACTCATTGGTTTACCAAGTGAGACTTGGGCCGTATCTATATGTTGGTTGAGGGGCGGGGGGTTCTGTCTGAAATGAGCAGACATGGGTGTTGCATCTCCCCTGGAAAGTTTCGTCACACAACAACAAGGTCCAGCGTTCTTTTATCCCTGGGTACTTTTAGAAAACGTGGTTGTGTTTTTACCCATCCCTCCCCTCCAAAATCCACTGATTTGTGGAGGTAACACAAAATGCCTTTTCACGCACACTTCACCAGTGTACCAGAAGTACTAGCAATTCTCGTGTTTTCGTTTTTTGCAAAAGTTGGTCTGCGACGATGTACGTCAGAGCCCAGGGTGGTTGAACCTTCCCCTTGTCAGATACTCAAGTGTCTGGGTAGATAAATTTGCCATACTAAAGCGAATCTTGAGATGACTTTTTGCGCAGCTGCTACTCCGTTTCAATTGTACTTCCTGAGAATTCATCGAAATAGGAAGAAATATACCCAGCGATAAGGTAAGCCTTTTTTTTTTTTTTTGCTTGTTTTTGTTTTGGTCACAACAAACTGTGAAATGCTGCTTTCCCTATAGTTCTAATGCATGAAATCTGCAATCTTTCCACTTGATTTCCGAAGGACCCTTAATTACTGCTGTCATTAGCACCTACTGTTCAAAACAGTCTGTTAAAATGTACCGTTAGTCTCACCTCCAAGTCCCTGCTTGCTTGGTTTTAACTTTTTCAAGGGTAAGTAAAACAATAATTGCTTTAATAACAACAGTCGGTATGTGCAGAGAAATAAATAATATCCCAAGGTTTTTTTTTTTTTTTTTTTTTTTTTTGGTTTTTCGAGACAGGGTTTCTCTGTGGTTTTGGAGCCTGTCCTGGAACTAGCTCTTGTAGACCAGGCTGGTCTCGAACTCACAAAGATCCACCTGCCTCTGCCTCCCAAGTGCTGGGATTAAAAGCGTGCGCCACCACCGCCCGGCTTTTTTTTGTTTTATTTTGTTTTTCCCACCGCTTATTTCTGTTCACTGAAAATTCGGTACTTTGGTACTTTGGGCTGATTTCCAGCAGGTAAAGGTGACTGCCCCCGGGGCTTGACAACCTTAGTTCAAACCCTCGTATCCACCTTAGAAGAAAGAAAAAACCTCCACAAGCTGTTTTCTGATTTCTACGCATGCTGAGGGACTAGTCACTTCTTCCTACCCAATAAATAAATAAATGTAGTAAGAAAAAGAATTAAGTATTTGGGTTAAGAGGGTCCTAAGAGTTTGAGCAAGAGTTTTTCAGAACTAGCAGGGACTTACTGTCTGGGTCTTAAAAACAAGTCACTCATTTGCCTTTTTCGTTCCACATGGGTGGGAATGACAGCTGCCGGAAAGCTGCAATGTTTCTGCCTGGTCATGTACAGTTCTGCAATATAATGCATAAATGTATAACAACAACTTGGGCTCGCTGGATACCTCACTGGTCAGGAGGAAACGCAGCCTGCCTGGCGCGTCCCCGTGCACTTGAGCGCGCGCGCGCACACATACACTCGCGCACTGCGCGCTTCACTCACACACGCGCGCGCGCGTACACACACACACACACACACACTCACACACACGCACGCACACAGACACGCACGTGCGCGCGCGCGGGTCAAAAGGTGATCCAGTCCTGAGATTCCCCCAGTCTTTGCTTTCCCTCCTCCTGGCAGGTCGAGCTTCCTAGCCTGGAGAGCAGCTGGGCTGCGGACGGGGAGGGCGGGCGGGTGTGTATGTAGGGGGCGGGAGTGGCGAGAGAGGCGGGAGCCGGATAGGTGCGCGCCGCGCCCGCTCCCGCCCGGGGAGAGTCCGGGCCGGGTTTTGCGCCGGGTCCCCGGGCTCGTCTCACGGCCTCCAGCCGCCGCCGCTGCCGTGTTTACTGAGCTCGCGCGTCCTGATATCACTCCGCTGGCATGGAGGAGGAGGAGGAGGTGGAGGAGCGTGAGGAGGAGGAGGAGGAGGCGGCGGCGGCGGCGAGCAGTTGATCATTGTGATGGTGGTGGAGGCGGCGGCGGCAGCGGCAGCCTGGCCGAGCGTTAGGGGCTGCTCTCCGCGCGGCGTTTCGCAAAGGACTTCAGCGATCTACTTTTGCAGTCGCCTCGGACTGTCCATGTGTTTACTTGCCCCAGCCCGAGGACTCGATGTCTAGGCTTCTGTGAAATGCAACTGAGCAGCCAAAGTACTTTGAGAACACGGGGCGGCATAAACACCAAAACTTTTTTGTGGAAGGAAAATGCAATAAGCAAGCTCGCCGTTTTCCGATGCGGCGTGGAGTGAGTGTGTGTCGCGCGTGTCCGCACAGGAGGCACACGCTTGTGTGTGTACATGGGGTGTGTTTTTCGGTACGTAGTGAGAAAATGCTTGCCAACCACCGGAAACCTGGAATTTATTAGAAAATAATGGATTATTAAAAGGAGGCAGGCGAGGAGCGGATCTCCCCTTGAGTTGCAAGCCGATCTGCTGCCGGCTCAGTTTGTTGGGATTCTATTTGTTGATAGGTGTCTGATGGTATTCCGATAACACCCCCTCTTTCCTCCCCTGGATCTTTACAGTTTTTTTTTTTAAAGGAAACAACAACAAAAAACCACCCCAAATCTCTCCCTCTTTATTTTCGCCCCGTGGGGATCGCTGTTTTCATCCATGTGCTTGCGTCTCCCCCGCGTTCCACTTAAACTATTTTAATCCTTGGACCCAAGGAGGAGGCTGATAGGGGGGTGGATTAAAAAAAAGTTCTTCCAAAATAGTGTGCCCCGGGAGCAGGATGGGGGATTTCGCAGCCCCCACTGCTGCCGCGAATGGTAGTAGTATCTGCATCAACAGCAGCCTGAGCAGCAACCTCGGCGGGGCCGGGATCGGCGTGAATACTCCCAATAGCACTCCGGCTGCTCCAAGTGGCAATCACCCCGTTGCCGGCGGCTGCGGCGGCTCCGGGGGCCCCGGCGGCGGCTCGGCGGCCGTCCCCAAGCACAGCACGGTGGTCGAGCGGCTCCGGCAGCGTATCGAGGGCTGCCGGCGGCACCACGTCAACTGCGAGAACAGGTATCAGCAGGCTCAGGTGGAGCAGCTGGAGCTGGAGCGCCGGGACACCGTGAGCCTCTACCAGCGGACCCTGGAGCAGAGGGCCAAGAAATCGGGCGCCGGCACCGGCAAGCAACAGCATCCGAGCAAAGCCCAGCAAGATGCGGAGGCTGCCTCGGCGGAGCAGAGGAACCACACGCTGATCATGGTGAGGGCTCACGGGGCGCGCGTTGGGGTCGGGGGCGTGGAGTTTCTGGCGTGGGGGTGTGTGAGGGTCTGATTTGCACCGGGGGCGAGTGAGGTGGGATGGAGCCGAAGGGTTAACGTCAACTTTTCTCAGGGTAAACGTTGTCGTTGACGCCGCTACCTGTTAATCTGTCAGGGTTGTCAGATTTGGGGAGGAGGGGATGAGAGGGAAGCCAGTCACGACTACAAGGGGGAGGAGGGAGCTTTCAAGAGCGTTGGAGTGAGGCGCAGGAAAAGTTTCCCCCTCCTTGTCTTAGAAACCGATCCGAATGAGAGTGAACCCGGGAGTAGAAACCACGCTGCTCCTCTCCGCGCCCCGCCTTCACCTCTCGCGGTGCCACCGCGCCTCCCCAGATCGGTCCCCTTTCGCCCACCCCTCTCATCACATCCGCCGGCTGCGGGGAGAAATTGATGCTGTCGCACATTCTGAGTGGGCACCAGGCTCTTAACCCTTTGGAGGGGGAAGGAAGAGTCTCTGGCTTCCTCTCCTTTGGGTTTGGGAAAGTCTGAGAGTTTTGTGAATGAACTTTGAAGTGGGTGAGCTGCGAGCGAGGGTGGCTGCGCGCGCGTGCTCGTGGGGACGCGCGCGGATGCGGGGCGCGCGAGCGCTGCGCTCGCCGCTCGAGACCTGCGGCTGAGGCAGGGCAGGTGGGGCAGCCGCGAGGGGTCGAGAGGGCCGTGGCTGGGCGGGAGCGAGGAAGCCAGAGCTGCGCCCTGATCCTGCCACTGCCGCAGGGCTTGGAATTGTCCCCCATCCTCTTCTTCAACTTGCCCCCACCTTGCTCTCGCCAACTTTCAGGCACCGGGTAATGAGCCCGGAGGAGTGGAGGGGAGCAGGGAGGAGAAAGGCTTAAATGGCCGGGTGGGTGGGTTCGCAGGAGGATGCGCAGCCAATGGCTTAAGTGCTAGGAGGAGGAAGGGGCCGATCCCACCCCTAACCCAGAGGGTGGAATCCTTTCTCTTATCTCCTCTCTGGGGTTCGCTAGCTCTTTGGGAGGGGGGGGCGGGGTAAGGCAGGAAGCTTGGGAAAGGTGTCTGCACTCCCTCCCCCACCGTGTCTCCGGGTTCGAGGCCCCGGTAATGGCCATCTCCTAGGAGCGCGCCCTCTTTTCCCCACCGCCCCTCCGTCGGCTGCGTGGAGTCGGGCGCCGGACGCCCTCTCCGTGTGCTTTCTGTGCTTCGCGCACGTTCCGGATCTCGGAGCGCCAGGGGTGGTGCCAGGGTCGCCGGGCTCTCGGGCGGGCGGGCGGTGACAAAGAGCCGGCGTGGGGGAGGGGAGGCCGCGGAGCTCGCTCCCCCCTCCCACCCCGCACGTGAAGAGGAACAATTTGTTTATCTTGGGCTTCAAGAATCCTTCCCTCCTCCCTGCTCTCCTTGGCCCCTCCTCCCTGCCCTCCCTCTTCTGCTCGCTCCAGCCCAGTCCCGCCGGCAGCGCCCTCCTCCTATCCTCCTCTCCCTCCCCGACCTCCCTCTCCATCCCACCCCTCTGGTCCTCCCTCCCCTCCCTTTTGGAACGCGGCCGTGGGGGAGGGAGCGGGAGGCGCTTTGTCCGCCTGGCGGCCCTGCGCAGCCCGGGGGACCGCCCAGCGCCTCCGGCCCTGCCCCCTCCTCCGCCTCAGGCCACCAGTGCGGTGGGAGGAAGAACCCGGGTCCCAGAGTCTTCTAGGGAGCTTCTCGCTTACAAACAGGAAGCTCCAAACCACGGACACACTGGCTTTTTCCTGATTGTAACCCTGAGCTGGGACGACGCCGGCGTCTTGACTATAGCTGGGGACCCAGGTGGCACCAGTGTTCTTAGCAGTCCCCCAGCCCCCTCTCTGCCCTCGCCCTCAGTCGTGGGAGATTGACTTAGCGAACCTGAGGCTGGAGTAGAAGAAGCCAGACGTCGAGGATTCCGTCCTCGCCCACCCCCACCCTCTACAGTGTGCGCACGTCTTCTGTTCCCTAATTGCATAGAAACTGACTTTTTGCGTGAGATTCCAAAATTTCCCGTCTTCTGACACAGCTTACGACCTTTGGGGATGGTGCTGAACAAAAGCCACTGTCCTTTTCCTTTCTTCTTTTTTTTAGAGACCTGGTACGGAGGCGAGAGGAGTAGAGTTAGGGACCAGAAAGTTTTATCTTTGGGCTGTGTCCTCCCTTACCATCCTCTGATGGCGGCAGGACAAGGGTGGGGGCCGCCTCTGTGCTGACACCCGCAGGTAAAAGCCAGCCTGCATTCTGAGGTTACCTAGGAGGCAGCTCGCCCCAGCCAGGGTTTAACTTCAAAATGAAAATATAAAGCTTATTTGAATAGATGAAGACAACAGCTATAAATTTCGCAATGAATCCTACTTTAGTAAGTTAACAGCAAATAGACTTGAAAAACATCGCCCGAAAATCAAATTTTTCTATCAGTTGTCAATAATTTAGCTCATTGACGTAGAGAAATACCAAAGCCATGTGCAATACTGTATATTCTAGCATCTTCCAAATATAAGCGTCTCGCTGGTGCCAATACGCGATGTACGTGTGATGTGGAATGAAAATAAACCGTTTTAATACTAAGAAAAGACTTGTGTGTAGATTTTGTGCGTAGAGAGAAAAATTAACATCGCAATTTTATGAGTTAAATTTTCCTGTAAAATGATTAGTTTCAGAATTCACATCCGCTTCTAAGATGGAAGAATACCTTAAGTTTAGCCTATCTATGAGATTAAAAAATCTTCAAGATGGGTTACTACGAAAATGTTCCTCTTCGTTTTCTTGAATTGACTGCTGGATTATAGTGGAACTCCAGTGAGGCACAGAGCAATTAAATTTAGTTCTCGAATTGGACTCGCTATTTAGAAAGCTCTAAAGAAAAATGATGATTAACTACAGCCAAACAGCGATGCTGAAAAAATAAAATAAAAGTGAATAGGATTCTTTTCTGTTTTATTGCTATTGTTTACCTTCTTAGGACCAGTATTTCCGAAGTACCAAATATCGATTGACTCTTTCTGCCTGGCTTGGGTTAAGAGGACAATCTAATGAGGGCTTTGCTGCTTTTGATTTGTTTTCCTATCTTGCACATTTACAAGCATAGGCATGAAAGACAAACACACAAACTAGTAAGCCAAAAGCAACCAGAGGTGGTGAGCAGTAATCTCCCCTGGTTCTAGACTATTTAAGATTGCTGTGGGTTCTCTGTAGCATGGTGCATAGAGCAGGCAGCACTCCTAGATTTGAGCCTATACTATTTCAAGTGACAGGTCCTCTCTATAGACTCAGGTAACTTCGGTCCGGACATCAGCCACAACCATTTTATTTTTACAGAGGGCATCCCCCACCCCCAAGACTCCTTGGTTCCACGGTGAGAACTGTTGACTTTATGCATTTAAGAATCTCAGTGTTTTCCAGTGTCTTTCCTGGTAGCAAAATATGTTCATTGCAGCACTTGGAACAGGATTTGGGTCTGGTATTAAGATACGTTTTGATTTGCAAGTCCAAAGATTGATCGACTTGACAAAGGTGCCATCCTTTAGAGCATCAGAAAGCACATCAATGTCATTTTGACAATCTCAAAATGGTGGTAGTCTTATTCCCCTGGGGACCTATGCTGTGCCTGGCCTTTCCCTGTCACCATCCTAACAATTTATAGACAGTTTGCACAGTGCATAAATCTATGTGACCCATGCTCTGAAGAGTTTATCGCATAAAATTCATTTGATAATATAGGTATTAATCACTGAATATTGGATATAACTGTACCCCATCCAAAAATGTTCCCATCCATCCTTGGAATGGATCCAGGAAATGCCAATATACTAGGTCACTACTGAACCTTCTCCATGAATCCTTTTGCCTTTTAAATTTTATTTTATTTTTTATGGCAACCTTTCCAGCTTAACTATCCGGCTGCTGTCATGGGTGAGGGGGGTGGCTTTTGCCAAACCTTCCCATTGCCTGATCTAGCGTGTCTTAAGTTTGTGAGAAAACCGTGAACTTTTATTTCTTTATCCTTAACAATATGGTGTTCTTTGCGCTAAACTTCAAGAATCATTGAACAACAATACATGTAATCCTTTGGTCATGGTGCATTCTATTTGTACAGAGTGGCCAGCCGTCAGCCTGCAAAGTAGAAGTCCAGTTAGTTCATCGTTAGTCATAATCTACAAAATGAGATCCAGGCAGATCCCTTCCCAGGTAAAGCTGACTCTCAAGTAGCTAGCATTCTGGATACGCCCCATCCTGTCTTTTTAGACTCATGAGAACAAATGAGATGTTTTTCAGATTTTTCTGACTAATTCATATGAGAGAAATGAGCATTTTCTGGCCACTGTTCAGTTTCTGTAGGAGAGATGAGGATCATGGGCGGTTAGGTTTCCTTACACTCAGTTACTTTCCCCCTAAGCCTGCGAGACTCAGAGTTCGCTGCTAGATTTCCCAACAGGGCTTTTCATTTGGTTGAGATAAGGACGCTTGTGAGCAAGCCTTCCCTTGAGCTCCTGCACCTCCCTCCCCAGAATCTGGCATAATAAACAATTTTGCATGTTAAGTTGTTGTTCTTGGGCGCCTTCAAAGCACTTCCTCTTTGTGAATGCTCCTTGCGAAGTTTTCTGTGGGTGATGAGTATTCTGTTTGGTTTCCAGTCGTTCTCTGCTGGACTCTGTCCTGGAGTTGATGATAGCCAAAGCCTGTCTTTTGACACGCTCTGCACCGTAGAGAAGTGTGTGGTGTCCATCAGATGTCTAACTAGCAGAAGCAGATTGCAAACCCGCCCTCAGGTTCTCACAGTATCTGCCCTAAGTCTCAAGCTGTGGTTCACATGTACTCTGGTGTTGAAGAGCTCAGAGTTGGGGGTTTGGAACCTATGGCTACCTGTCCTGCTTCCTCTGCTGCTCTTGTCTCCCTTTCTCTTGCTCTTTACCACTTTTATCACTGAGGAAGCAGCAAGCAGAGGAAAAACTAACTCAGGTGCTTCTGGCTGTCGCAGTAACA